CTCTGCTCCTATGATGCTGCTTGGCCTGCTGTGTTCATCCAGCCCTGTACCTTTATGGAGACTGTTCCACCTTCTTCTCATCTTACTGTTCCCTAGCTCCCTAATACTCTTCCCTCCTGGACCCGGGAAGCAGGCATTTCCATTTTTTCCCAATGCAGAATTGTTTGGCAACTTCAACTTTGAAATGCATTGAATGCTTCTTGCCTTTTCAAAGTCACCCAAGAATTCTCAGTCATTAAAGGTATGATGCATTGTGTGTCTGCTTCTTTCAGGGAAGCATTACTGGAGCTACATCAGAATTCTCATGGATTAAACATTAAATTGAGGCTTACTGTATAGATTTTTCAATCACATTCAAAATAAAGAGACAACATTCTGTAGAAACTCAACAGGAATGGCAGCTTCTGTGAAAAAGAGAAACAGAGTTAATGTTTACTCAATGTAATTGAGTGCAATAAACTTTTTCTTCAGAACGTTTCTGCTGAAGGAGAGTCATATCAAAACATTAACTCTCTCTCTTTCTCAGCAGATGCCCCCAGACCTTTGAATTTCTCCAACATTTTTTCTCTTTTAATTTTAGATTTCTGACATCCACAGTATTGTTATTTCTATTATCAATCTTGTTCATATCAGTCCCAACTTTTTTTTACAAGCCATTATAGATCCCACTCATTTGGGAAATTCACTTTTTGTCAAGATTTAAATATCTAGGTGGATGATTAAATGTAATGACTCAGGTAATTTTTGTTTATTTTCCCCCCCATTCTGGTGTGTCTTCCATTCTTTGGTTTCTTTTTAAATGTCTTTACTTCATTTGGTCTTAGGCATCTCTAATTTTCTGATGAGGTGTCTTTCTGTTTCTTCTCCATTTTTGATCACTTCAGATCTCAGCTCATCACTCAGCTAAGATCTTACTGAATGGCAAGGGAGGCAGGAGGGCTGAATGCCTACTCCTGCTCCTACTTCAGATGTTCTTATGTTGCTGTTTTTTTTTAGTCTTCATCCTCTGCGAGATGGTGACAGTAGCATAATGGCCATGCTCCTGAGATAATTGTATAGAAGTTCAAGTTAATGCTCTGAAGGTCATCAGTTGCAACCTCGCCACAATAGTTGCTGGTACTAATTAATAAATTTGCAACATGCAGTCTCAGTGATGGTGACCGTGACATCTATTGTCAATTGTTGTTACAAGAAATCTGGTTCCCTCTACTGTCTACTATTCAAATTGGCAGGCAGTAACTTGTGGGGTGCCACAGGGACCGGTGCTGGGACACAGCTATTCACTATACATATTAATGATTTGGATAAGGGAACAAAATATAACATCTCCAAGTTTGAAGGTGATACCAAGTTGGGTAGGAGGGTGAACTGTGACAAGGATGCAGAGATCCTTCAGCATGATCTGGACAGATTGGCTGAGTGGGCAAATCAATGGCAGATGCAGTATAATTTGGATAAATGTGAGGTTATTCACTTCGGAAGCAAAAACAAGAAGGCAGATTACTACCCGAATGGCTGTAAATTGGGAGAGGGGAGTGTGTAGCAGGACCTGGGTGTCCTTGTGCACCAGTTACTGAAGGTAAGCATGCAGGTGCAGCAGGCGGTAAAGAAGGCAAATGGTATGTTGGCCTTCATTGCGAGAGGTTTCATGTACAGGAGCAGGGATGTGTTGTTGCAGTTGTACAGGGTCTTGGTGAGACCACACCTGGAATATTGTGTGCAGTTTTTGTCTCCTTTTCTGAGGAAGGATGCTCGTGCTCTCGAGGGAGTGCAGCAAAGGTTTACCAGGTTCATTCCGGGGATAGCAGGTCTGACGTATGAGGAGAGATCGACTAGGTTAGGAATGTTTTCATTGGAGTTCAGATGAATGAGGGGGAGATCTCACGGAGACTTATAAAATTCTAACAGGACTGGACAGGGTAGCTGCAGGAAGGATGTTTCCAATGGTGGGTGCATCCAGAACCAGGGGTCACAGTATGAGGAAATGGGGTAGACAATTTAGGACGGAGATGAGGAGACATTTCTTCACCAAAAGAGTGGTGAGCCTGTGGAGTTCATTACCACAGGAAGTAGTTGATGCAAAAACATTGAATTGATTCAAGAGGCAGCTAGACATTGCACTTGGGGCGAATGGGATCAAAGGTTATGGGGAGGAAGCAGGGTTAGGCTATTGAGTTGGATGATCAGCCATTATCATGATAAATGGTGGAACAGGCTCAAAGGGCTAAATGGCCTCCTCCTGCTCCTATCTTCTAAGTTTCTATGTTTCTAAGAAATCTGTCATCCTTCCCTTATTTGGACTACATGTGACTTCAGATCCACAGTAATTCCATTGACTGTTAACTACCCTCTGAAACTACTCAGTAAGCTGCTCAGTTCAGGGCATTTGGAAGTGGACAAATAAAGCTAGGTTTGCCAGTGACACCCACAGCCCATTTGAAATAATTTTTAAACATTTACTCAGGTACATGCATTTTCATTATGCGTGGTAAAAATTATGGTCTTAAGGAAAGAAATTTGTTCATGGTGTGTCCTTTGCTTACTTTATTGCTTGCAAGCCTAGGGGAAAGTATGATATTTCATGAATGGAGGCAATGCTATTTCAACCGTTTTCATTTTGAATAAACCATCTTGCTTCTGAATTACAAGATCGTGGGTGATGATTATCACTGACGAGCCTTGAACACATTATCTTGTTTGTTACTCTAGCTTAGCGCTGCTGTTTGTCTGCGGTGGCATTCCATAGCACAGGAACAGGCCCGTTGGCCCACCCTGAACACAGTCCACACGGTATCTTTGATAGTGCAAGCACTGTCTTTCAGATGAGACATTTAAGCACAACCCTATCCATCTGTCAGATAGAAATAAGAGCCACTGCTTTTCCCTCTATTCAACTTGTATTACACCCACAAAATTTCAACTCCAGTTTATACAGAACGAGCACTTCAATTTTAAAGCAAAATGCAGTTGAGAAGTCAAGAGACCTTTTCCATGTCTATTGGCTGGAAAGAATTGCACAAGATCCTGGAAACTAGTCTGAACGTTTGGACAAGAGATTACATGCATTGTGATGAAAGGTGTATGATTTTTATTTGTGTTATTATATTCCTTTTACTGTTTGGATTTTAAACCAGTGGCACATGGTTGTTGTCTCTTCTGTAAAGGGGTTTAAAAACAACTAGGTCAGTCTTTCTAGAACCAAAGCTTAAATCAGTCTGTGGTTCCCGGAATGTAATATAAAAGTTTATAATGACAGGAGAGAGAAAACATTGAAAGATTTTTCTTTGGTTGAGAATAATCAAGGATTGATTTTAGTTTAGAACAACACACAAATTAGAGGGAGGTGTTGGCCTAGTGGTATTATCACTAGACTACTAATCCAGGGATCCAGGTAATGACAAGGGGTTTGAACCTCAAGAAGGCAGACAGTGGAATTTGAATTAAAAAAGAATCTGGAATTGAGTCTCCTAAATTGTTGCCGATTGTCAGGAAAACCCATGCGGTTCATGGGTTCATGAACCCATGTCCTTTAAGGAAGGGAATTGCCATCCTCATCTGGTCTGGCATACCAGACCCACAGCAATGTGATTGACTCTTAACTGCCCTCTAGGCAATAAGGGATGGACAATAAATGCTGGCTAGGCTAGCGATTATCTAATGAATAATTTTTTTTTAAAAAAGAAAGCCTTTGGACAGTTTGAAGAAGACTTGCTCTATCAAGATTAGCTTGGTTTGATTATATTTACATTTCATTTATGTTATGCAATAAACCTCTGTTTTATTGTTAAAAGCAAATCTGCAGCCTTGTGAATTTATGTCTCAATGAAAGAATGCCAGGCTTATCAAGTCTGGAATCTGACTTGTCCAGTAGTAACATCAGCTGGGCAAGCATTTGTGACATTCCATTGATAACTCTCTGAAATTCAACACACTTTTCCTATGGATTGATGGCTGCTCTTATCCAAATAGCCAAAAAACTAGTTCGCAATAATCCAGTAGACTTCTAAACTTCAGAATGAACATTGAAAGGATAAGTGCAAAAGAACTTAATACCA